GGTATACAAATGTGGACACCCTTGAAATAGAGAAAGCTCTGTATTGTATCTTAGGGCATTTATAACCCTATACCATCTCATTTTGTGGCCCATGGGCTTCTTGGACTCTCTGTTGTCACTCTGTGTTGCATTTCCCATTCCCTTGCAGGTTTCCCTTTGGGCTCCACGGTGCAGTCGGAAACCAAAGGCATCTGGATGTGTTGTGTGCCCCACCCCTCCAACCCCAACCACACCCTAGTCCTTCTGGACACTGAGGGCCTGGGTGATGTGGCAAAAGTAAGGCAGGGTCACAAACAGATCCTTTTTATTCTGGATTTTCTTCTTATCTTTTCATGATCCTTTGTAATTTAACTGTGGTGATCTATTCTTGAAATGCTGAAATCTAACTATATTGAACAAGGCAGACTTTGGCCTCTTTGAAACTCATTTCTGGGTTAAATAAAATAATGTGGTATATTAGATAAGATCTTTTATTTCTGAGCACTGAAGTAAATAGTTTTACCCTTTGTAATAAGCCTTTGTTGAGAAACTGAATTTAAGGGTCTTGAGCTGAGTTATACATTGTTTATACTGCAACTAATTGCTGGCTTCTGCAATAATTTAGTCAACCAAAAATTTTTGGCCGTCTTCAAGGCTCTTCATTATTCTTCACAGGAGTTTGATTTTGAGCTTTATCTTCTCTACCTACCTTCTGCTCTGCGCCAGTCAGAACAATAACTCTACTTATTGCATTCTAACTCTCATTTTGCTTCTGCAGATCTTTCTACTTGCAAGCTTCTTTCATTTCTTCAAGTCAAGATTTTATAAATCCTTTAACATCCAGCACAAAATTTTTAGGGATGTTTCATATTATAAACCCACTCTTTCTCTAACTCGAGTATATTTTGTTCCCTTTGACCAATTCAATATTTTTAAAAAATATATATTTTTATTGATTTCTGAGAGGAAGGGAGAGGGAGAGAGAGATAGAAACATCAATGATGAGAGAGAATCATTGATTGGCTGCTTTTTTATTTGATATAATGGCTGTTGTTTTTACTAACATTCACTATTACTGTGTAACCTTTAGATTATATTGTCATTTTCATTGCATTTGTTTTTAAATGTTTGTAAATACCATGAAATAGTTATCTCAAGTGTAACAATTATATTCACCTTTGCTTCCCTATAACTAAGAAAAATATATAACATTTAGCGGTAGTTCATAAATATTTAATTTACTTGGTTTTATTTTGAGAGTTCAGTTGTGACTAGCATAGTAGTTATTTTACAGTTCACTTTTTGTTAAATGAACATGTGGTGTCACTTATGAACAATGAATTGTTCAAAATTATGTGTTTACTCCCACTTAGAAACAAAGAACACTTGAAGGAAAGCATAATTAGAATTCTTTTATAGGTGAGGAAACTGAGATCACAAAAATGTCAATGTAATTGCCAAAGCTGAGATTTGCCTTTAATTCTGATTTCAAGGTTTTTTCTTTGTACCAAACACACTACAATCTGAAATAATAAATTAAAAATTATTAAACAATTAACTGAGTGAGCTTCTGAAAATAAGACTCCTAAATGTTTTTTCTAACATGTTTTCTAGGGTGATCCTAAGAATGACTCATGGATCTTTGCCCTGGCTGTGCTTCTGAGTAGCACTTTCATCTATAACAGCATGAGCACTATCAACAATGATGCCTTAGAGAAACTGCAGTATCCTTCCCAGTTTTATTGAGAAATTGATGGGAATGGAGACAAAGCTGAATTCTCTTTCCCTGCGGCTGAGTGGCCTTTGGTGGAGCAGAGGGAACCCAGGGCAAAAGACAATGTTTATAATAATTTTTTGAGGGAAGTGTAGGAATTGTGGGTAGAAAGTTCCTTTTCCTTAGCCAGGTCCTAGTTATGTGACAGAGTTGACAGAACTCATCAGGGCAAAGTCTTCTCCTAGACACGGTGGAGTAGAAGATGCCACAGAGTTTGTGAGTTTCTTTCCAGACTTTATCTGGGCTGTACGGGATTTCACCCTAGAGCTGAAGTTAAATGGTCACCCTATCACAGAAGATGAGTACCTGGAGAATTCCTTGAAGCTGATTTCAGGTAACAGGTTGGCTGGGCAGTGGATGGTCCAATACAGGGCGGAGGAAGGTACTAAACATTGTCTATTATCTCTAATAGTTGCATTTGTATTTTAAGATTAGATCAAGCCCCACAGAATTGGTTTTTGGAACCTAGGTTGCTATTTGTTGGTAAGTTCTAGTAACTAAAGGGTGTCCCAAAATTCACGCAAGAAGTAATTTTGATAGAAAACACAGGTTTACAATTAAAAATTGTAAGTGTTTTATTGATTCATAAAGTATATAGTATAGGGTTATGTAAGGAATAGCACATCCAGTAAATGGCCTCCACGGCTTTGCTGGCACATACGCAAAGCCGTGGTCTTCATTGGTCTTCATTGTCCCTTACTTTTCTCAAGGAGAAATATAAATTTCTAGTGCGAGAATAGTTGGATCTTGCACAAAAAAATTTACACCCTAAATAGACCTGATGATCTACTATCAATGCTTATGTTTTCATTATATCTCTCACATGTTTTTTTTTTTTTATAAATTGGGGTATAATTAACATACTACCTGGGTAGAATTTTTACCTGCACTATCCAAGTGCAGGGGGAATATAAACAATGGCACTCCTGGCTCCTTCGTCATGATAGGTTCTTTTAGATTTTGGGAGGCTCCTACATTTCCCCTATCTTCTCTGTATGGTCTCTCTCTCTTCTTTGTTGCACAGAAGCTCTTCAATTGTCCTTCAGTTGTCTCTCAGGAGGAATTGCTCTAAATATAAGTGCACATTTAGTGTTTTCATGCACCTGCATCTTTTTCTAGTGTCTTGAGGTGTATAGTTAAGTTGTTTATTTGAGATTTTTCTTGTTTCTTGTGGTAGACATCACTATGAACTTCTCTCTTAGAACTGCATTTGCTGAATCCCATATTTTGGCCAGTTGTATTTCCATTTTGATTTGTGTTAAGGTCTTTTCTTACTTTCCTTTTGACTTCTTCATTGACCCATTGGTAGTTTAGAAGCATGTTGTTTAATCTCCACATATTAGTGAAATTTTTAGTTTTCTTCTTGCAATTGAAATTTTTTGTTGTTTTCTACCATTGTGGTCAGAAAAGATGCTTGATATGAATTCAGTCTTTCTAAATTTGTTAAGACTTGTTTTGTGACCTAACCTATGATAGATCCTAGAGAAGTCATGTGTGCTTGAGAATAACAAGCATTCTGATAATTTTCGGCAAAATGTTCTGTTTATACCTGTTAAGTCCTTCTGATTTAATGTGTCATTTAGGTGATTGTTTTTATATTAATTTTCTGTATCCATGAGCTATTTATTGATATAAATGGGACATTAACATCCCTTACTACTATTGTATCGCTGCCTAATTCCCCCTAGGTCTGTTCATGATTGCTTTATATATTTAAATAGGGATATATATTCTCTGTTCTGGGTGCATAAATAACTACAAATGTATATCCTCATGTTGGATTTATGCCATTATATAATGTCTGCCTTTTTTGTTTTCTTATTACATTCTTTGTCTTATAGTTTTTTTGTCTAATATAAGTATCAATACTTTAGATTCCTTTTATTTTCCAATTGCATGGAATATCTTTTATCATTTCTTCACTTTCAGTCTATAATGTCCTTACATCTGAAGTGCATCTCTTGTAGGCTGTATATAGATGGGTCTTATTTGTTATTTTTATTTTTAAAAAATATATTTTCTTGATTTTTTTACAGAGAGGAAGGGAGAGGGATAGAGAGTTAGAAACATTGTTGAGAAAGGAACATCAATCAGCTGCCTCCTGCACACCTCCTACTGGGGATGTGCCCGCAACCAAGGTACATGCCCTTGACCAGAATCAAACCTGGGACTCTTCAGTCCTCAGGCTGACGTTCTATCCACTGAGCCACACCTGTTAGGGCAAGTCTTATTTTTTAAAAAATTCATTTAACCTCTCTATGTTTTTTGACAAATTAGTTCATTTACATATAAAGTAATTATTGATAGGTATGTACTTATTGAATTTGTTAATTGTTTTCTGGCCATTTTGTAGTTCCTCTCTTCTTTTCTTCTTTTCTTGCTACCTCTCTTTATGGTTTGTTGACTTTCTTTTGTGTATCTATTATAAGTTCTTGCTTTGTCATTACCATGAGGTTGATATATAACAGCATATTTATAACAGTCTGTTTTAAGCTGATAACAATTTATATTTGAAAGCATTCTAAACTCTACATTTTTAGTCTCCCCCACCACATTTTATGTTTTTGATGTCACATTTTAAATATTTTTATCTTGGGTATTCCTTAATTAATTATTGTGGTTATAGTAATTATTAATTATTTGGCCCTTCTTTCCTTTTTTGTTGATGAGTCTGGCTGAAGGTTATCAATTTTGTTTATCTTTTCAAAGAACCAACTCTTAATTTTATTGATCTCTTACTTTCTTGTTTTGTCTCTATTTTATTTCCACTCTGACCTTTATTATTTCCTTCCCTTTACTAACTTTGGGTTTTGTTTTTTCTAATGCCTTAAGTGTAAAGTCATATTGGTATTTTGAAATTTTCTTGTTTCTTGAGGTGAGCTTGTATAGCTATGAACTTCCCTCTTAGAACTGCTTCTGTTGCATTCCATAGATTTTAGAAAGTTATGTTTTCATTTTTACCTGTCTCAAGATAGTTTTTGGTTTTCTTGTTTATTTCCTCTTTAATTTATGGGTTGCTTAATAGCATGTTGACTAGTCTCCATGTGTCTTTTGCCCCCCATTTTCTTCTTGTGGTTTATTTCTAGTTATATGGTGTTTTGGTAAGAAAAGATATGTGGTATGATTTTAATCACCTTAAATATATTGAAACTGTTCTACAGCCTAACATGTAATCTATTTTGAAGATGTTCCATATGTACTTTAAAAAATGTTTATCCTGCATACTTTGTATGAAATGTTATGTAAATAACTATTAAATCCATCTGGTTTAATTTTTTGTTTTTTTAAGAATAATGTGCACTTACTGATTTTCTGTATAGATTATTTATTCATTTATTTAAGTGGGTTATTATTATTGTTCTGCTGCCCTCTGAGCTCAGAGGGACCCCTGCTCCGGGGGCTGCCCTGGACATTCCCTGTGCCTACGGCCCGAAAGCGGGCTGAGCCCTCGAGGGAACCGTCTGCCCCATGCCTTCCATCTTTTCAGGGCTAAAGTCTCACTCTTTCTATTGATCAAGTGTAGCAGCCGCTTAAAATCTAATGGGTAACCCCAGAACTAAACCTCGTCTGTGCCATGAATGTGAGGCCTGGCTGCCCAGTGGGTGGGCATGACTTTAACAGCCAAGATGAGGGGAAGGGAATAAACTACATTCAACTACAACATCTGAAGTAATATTTACCTTTGAAAACCTGGGCCAGGAAGCTTGGAACGATGTCGCAGCTGGGTGACCTGCCCTTTTCCTTCACTTGCCTGAAGCCACGCCTCCTCTACCTCGCTCTCCTTTCCTGCCACTTGCATTCTGAGGTGAACACCGGGCCTCAGCACCAGTCTCTCTGGACGTAGTGCCGCCCTGCTCTGAGCCACGCCCCTGCCTCTTTATACGTGGGACTGCCCTGCTCTGAGCCACGCCCCCTCTCTGTATGCAAACATGGTGCCACCTTGTGCTTAGCCACGCCCCCTTCCTTTCCATACAGAAAATGGCGCCTCCCACCTTGGGCTTAAGCCTCCAGGCGAAGAGCTGCCTCTGGCTTCCTGATGCAGAGGAGCAACTCCCCTGGCTGCCGCGTCGCCCGGGGTTCTGGGTCTTCTGGGGCTGGCCTGCCCTGGATGGCGGCGCGCTGATGGCTTGAGCTGTCCCGCCCTGCCTGCAGTATGCAATTAGCTGCCATCTTTGTTGGCGGTTAATTTGCATATCACACTGATTAGCCAATGGGAGGCATAGCTAAGGTACAGTCAATTACCATGTTTGTCTATTATTAGATAGGATAGGGATATATATTCTCTGTTCTGGGTGCATAAATAACTACAAATGTATATCCTCGTGTTGGATTTATGCCATTATATAATGTCTGCCTTTTTTGGTTTCTTATTACATCCTTTGTCTTACAGTCTTTTTTGTCTAATATAAGTATCACTACTTTAGATTCCTTTTAGTTTCCAATTGCATGGAATATCTTTTATCATTTCTTCACTTTCAGTCTATAATGTCCTTACATCTGAAGTACAACTCTTATAGGCAGTATATAGATGGGTCTAATTTTTTATTTTTTTAAAATATATTTTATTGATTTTTTACAGAGAGGAAGGGAGAGGGATAGAGAGTTAGAAACATTGTTGAGAAAGGAACATCAATCAGCTGCCTCCTGCACACCTCCTACTGGGGATGTGCCCGCAACCAAGGTACATGCCCTTGACCAGAATCAAACCTGGGACTCTTCAGTCCTCAGGCTGACGTTCTATCCACTGAGCCACACCTGTTAGGGCAAGTCTTATTTTTTAAAAAATTCATTTAACCTCTCTATGTTTTTTGACAAATTAGTTCATTTACATGTAAAGTAATTATTGATAGGTATGTACTTATTGAATTTGTTAATTGTTTTCTGGCCATTTTGTAGTTCCTCTCTTCTTTTCTTCTTTTCTTGCTACCTCTCTTTATGGTTTGTTGACTTTCTTTTGTGTATCTATTATAAGTTCTTGCTTTGTCATTACCATGAGGTTGATATATAACAGCATATTTATAACAGTCTGTTTTAAGCTGATAACAATTTATATTTGAAAGCATTCTAAACTCTACATTTTTAGTCTCCCCCACCACATTTTATGTTTTTGATGTCACATTTTAAATATTTTTATCTTGGGTATTCCTTAATTAATTATTGTGGTTATAGTAATTATTAGTTATTTGGCCCTTCTTTCCTTTTTTGTTGATGAGTCTGGCTGAAGGTTATCAATTTTGTTTATCTTTTCAAAGAACCAACTCTTAATTTTATTGATCTCTTACTTTCTTGTTTTGTCTCTATTTTATTTCCACTCTGACCTTTATTATTTCCTTC